GTTTTCAACTGAAAAACCGAAACAAAACCAACATATACCAAGTCTGAAACTAGACTCATCTTCAAGCTTTGGTTTCTTGGAAAATTTTGCATTGTTTCCCTTATCTTAATTTTTTCCATAAAGAAAAACATTGTTTCACATTACTTTCATGAAAAAAACTAATTTCTAGCTATGGAATGTTCTTTAAATCTGGACAGGTTATCAATTTCTCCAAAACATTGTGATGTATATCATGCATGTGTAGAGAGTTATGTTAAACATTTATGATACTGCACACGTGGGTGTACACATAACACACCAGTTGAAGTGGTATTTTGTTACCAATGATTTTTGAACAATTTTAATTCATTTGATATAATCTGAACTCATTCACCCCTGAAGTTTCATAATGAACTATTCCAACCTTTGAATTGGAAGAGTTCAAATGTGTCTTCAGGGGTGAATGAGTTAAAGAATTTTTTTTAATAAAACACAACTGTGGTAAATAAGGAAATCATTCCTCAAACAAAACAGAATTAAATGCTCAAGTAACACATGAGTTAGATTATAGGTTGATGTGCAGTGGACATGTACATTAAGTTGATGGTCTAGCTTCAAACAATACAATCAGAGGTTAAGCATTAGTAGTTAAACACAGATACATTATATCACCTACTCTTTAGTTCTGAAAAAGCAAAAGAAAACAAGCCACTTGATACATAGATAATATATGCTCCACCAATGCATATAGACATGAAAACCTTGGGTGTTTGTTCCAACAATTTCCAATCTCTAATAAGGCTATTAATTTACACTACAGCGGAGACTGCTTCAGTCTTACATAAAGAACTACAGTACCAGGGTATATACACCAGTTTGGTACATACTGATAAGCCTGTTATATGTATAATTTTACATGCTTAAATGTGGCTAAGCTTTATTCTACTACAGTTAAAATCATGTCCATATAACTAATGTTATGGTTACAAGTCTGTGAAATTATGGATTTTTGTATTGTCTATGATGGAAGTCTCTGTAAAGATCGAAAGAGTGATGCCTTCCACATTTATTGTTTGAGACTTTCTGAGATATCTTGAATACAATCTATTTCTTTAGAAGTGGTCGACAAGTGTGACCTCTAGCCCCTGAGGTTTGACTGATGACCACAAAAATGAAATCAGGATATAGAACTCAATATTACCAGACTTTGGTGTAAAACTAAATCCATTGAGGGGTTCATGAGATGTCTTGTACACAGGAATTTTACCTCAAAAGTGGTCAAGTGCAACAAACCATATTGACTGCAGACCATCTAAGTGTATTTAGGTGTACAACTTCATGTTATACTACTACGTTGTAAATATAATGTCAATCTTATCAGAGGTTTGTGAGATGTCTTGTTCACAAGCTGTTTCGTCTCTCTTTATACAATAATAATTATTTGTATTATTTGTTTCTGCATATACTTTTATGATATATAGTAATTCAGTAAATTATATTTTTCCTTCTAGATATACATAGCAAGGAGCTGCATGATTCCATTACAATGCTTTATATAGAGTGAAATACAAGTTCTTTACTCCAAACCACAAGCAAATGTATTTTCTGTCAGCAAGACAGAAGAATTATGTAAATCATCTCCTTTTCTTATCCTTCTGACTGGAATGAAATCAACAATCACCCACCTTCAATTTCCTCCAGATCCAAATCCACATCTTCACTGTCTAGTTCCTCAGTCAGATAGTTCTTAAGGAACTCGGCAAAAGCACCAGCATGACCGATGAGTTCCTGGAATGACCCAACCTCAGAGATCTGACCATTCACAAGGACTACAATCAGGTCCACTTTTGGCAGGAAGCCAATACCGTGAGTGACCAACACCCGAGTCTGGAAGATAAGGTCAACAGAGTCTGTAACAGGAGTATAGATTTTTAATTCATTGAACACATATACTGTATAGTGATTTAATTTTCAAATGTCAAATTTGGCAGAGTTGTAGCTTGAACATTTTTGCGGGGTTAAACATTTCCCAAAACACTGCTGATAATCAATATTCCTGACAATAAAGGTAACCAATTTGTTTGACACACATTTTGTGTATATATTTAAGATGGGGTTGTAAATATACTGAAACTTTACCTTTGTGGAATATAATAATCCATTAACATGAAAGGTTATACAAGAGGCCCAGAGGGCCTGTATCGCTCACCTGGATATCATAGCAATCATGACAAATTATTCTCCAAATGAGATCCAAGGGAATATGCCAGACCCCACGGACAATCCTTGTAGCATATCTGTATTAGATTTGTCATGCCCAGCAATTTTATGTAAGGTTATGGGGTGGGGAACTCAACTGTTTCCAAGCTGTGACTCAGAACCTAGGTCCCTAGGGTTGTGGCCAGACCCCAGGATCAATTATAATATCATGACTGCATTTGTCTCTTTTTGCCCAGCATTTGTATATATAGTTTTTGGGTGGGGATCTTAACCTTTTCAAAGTTATGACCCAGGGACTATGTCTCCAAGGGTGGGGCCAGAACCTATAGCNGCAGACCCTGGAATCAATTATAATATCATGACTGCATTCGTCTCTTTATGCCCAACAATTGTATATATAGTTTTGGGGTGGGGATCATAACCATTTCAAAGTTATGACNCCCACCATTTGTACAATTTTGAATCCCTGCCTCACATGAATGCTTCCGACCAAATATGATTGATATCCATGGCATAGTTCTACAGAAAAAGTCGTTTATAGCAATATAACCAAATTGCCCCCTTTTGCCCCGCCCTCAGCCCCCTGAGGGGTCAGCCCCAGCATTTGTACAATTTTGAATCCCCACCACCTAGGGATACTTCCAGTCAAATTTAGTTAAATTCCAATCAGCGGTTAAGAAGAAGAAGTCGTTAAAGAAATTGTTGATGTACGGACGGACGATGGACGCAACGGTATGGCATAAGCTCACCTTGGTCCTTCGAACCAGGTGAGCTAACAAGGTTGTGCAGTTATAAAGTCAAACCAGAAAGTGTAAAATACGAAAAGGACACTTTAAAGATTTCCCAATCTGTTATCTTTACAGTATGTTATTTAGGTGAAGCAGGGCTTCTCTGTTTGATACAAACCCGTACCTACAAGAGGTATGACATTTCATAAGATGCATAACTTGTGATAAAGTGATAGATTTGATAAATGGATTGAGCAGGTTTATCAAAACAAAGTTGTTTTGCAGGACGTTAAGTCAAGACATTTATAAAGTGTATGTGTGTTTCAATACATATTTATTGTGAATACGATATGTGGCACCTGCCCTCACCTTCTCCTTAAGAAGACCCCTTGGTCCAATCACCTGATCAAAGATATGTTTGCCGACATGGGAATCGACTGCACTAAGAGGATCATCCAGAAGATAGATATCTGCATCCTGGTACACTGCCCGTGCTAGACTGACTCGCTGCTTCTGTCCTCCACTCAAGTTAATTCCCTATCAAACAAACATTATCAGGACTCAAACGAACTGAAAACATGGCTGTTCAATATTTCACTGATTTTCAGAAAACATTTGTTTTCTGTTATTTTGGTAGCTTCTTTCTGATAGTCAATAAAAGTTACTTTGAAATTTTAAAGTGTTGATTTCTTTATTATTATTATTTTCTTTTTCACATAAAAAAAGTAATGATATAGAAAATCTCGAAATATCTGATGTCACTATTTTTAGTTAAAACCTACTAGGTAAATCTGATTTAAGATGTTCTCACCTTTTCTCCTATCTCAGTCTCGTCTCCAGCAGGCAGTATTTCCAGATCAGTCTTCAGGGCACATGCATCCAAAACATTGGAATACTCTGTCTGGTACTTAGTCTTGCCAAACAGGATGTTGTCCTGCAGTGTTGCATTCTGGATCCAGGCCTGCTGGGCGACATATGCTATCGAACCCTGGAATACACATTATTTTACAAATTAGAGTTGGCAATTAATTAATTTCTTCTGAAAAAACATTTCTGAACAGCAGAAAAACCAATATAAAACCTTATGTTTTTAGTGAAAACATTTCTATTATATAAAGATATGATATGAGGATATATTTATTTAGATTGATTATTTAGACAACATCAACTTTCTGAGAGAATTTTATTGGTTAAAATTGGTACTGGTTTACAAAATTTTAACCAAACGTGAGACCAAAATTAAATGTCTTTTACATCTTCCAAACACAATCATCTCCTAATTCTCTCTGCCACCAAGTAATATATTGTAAATTATCAAATCAACTTTTTAACTTTAGTTCACCTTGTTATCTTTTATACAAAAAATTAACTTCAACAAAATTAATTTATGTTAAAATTCAATTAATAACAATCTTCTTTATTATTAAATTATTATCATTGAAGACATCATTTTCTATTGCATTTTGTCTCTGCCATGTAAAAAACATGGGAGAGACAAAATCCCTTAAACTGCCAGCAACAGTTAAAATGCATATGCATTAGAAACATTTGCATTTGACTTTGGTAGCACGATATCTATCATGCCGAAGAATGTTTAAATGGATTGAACTTTAGTACGACTAAGTGCTAACCTTGACATTGGCCTTGCCCTTGAGTTTCTCCATTTCCCCAAGAATGGCTGACAGGATGGAGGACTTCCCTGAGCCAACGGATCCAACCACAGCAACCAGGGATCCATCAGGCACTTCAAGGTTAATTCTGGGGAAGAAAATTCAGATAAACTTCTTATCTGAGGTGGTAGTCTTTACCTGATAAACTTCTTATCTGAGGTGGTAGTCTTTACCTGATAAACTTCTTATCTGAGGTGGTAGTCTTTACCTGATAAACTTCTTATCTGAGGTGGTAGTCTTTACCTGATAAACTTCTTATCTGAGGTGGTAGTCTTTACCTGATAAACTTCTTATCTGAGGTGGTAGTCTTTACCTGATTAACTTCTTGTCTGAGTGTGGGGTCTTTACCCAATAAATTAAATGTCTGAGGGCAGAGGTCTTTACTTGATAAACTTCTTGTCTGAGGGTGGGGATCTTTACCTGATAAACTTACTGTCTGGGTGGTCTGAGTCGACTTGTACTTACTTACTGAGGTTATAGGTCTCTGTCAATATACTTAATGTCGGGGGTCGGGGGTCTTGGTCTGATATACTAACTGTCTGAGGGTGGGGGTCTCTGTCTGATATACTTACTTACTGAGGTTGTAGGTCTCTGTCAATATACTTAATGGCGGGGGTCGGGGGTCTTGGTCTGATATACTAACTGTCTGAGGGTTGGGGTCTCTGTCTGATATACTTCCTCCCCGAGGGTGGGGGTCTCTGTCTGATATACATTATGCCTGGGGTTGGGGGTCTTGGTCTGATATACTTCCTCCCCGAGGGTGGGGGTCTCTGTCTGATATACTTCCTCCCCGAGGGTGGGGGTCTCTGTCTGATATACATAATGTCTGGGATTGGGGGTCTTGGTCTGATATACTTACTGTCTGAGGGTGGGGGTCTTGGTCTGATATACTTACTGTCTGAGGGTGGGGGTCTCTGTCTGATATACATAATGTCTGGGATTGGGGGTCTCTGTCTGATATACTTACTGTCTGAGGGTGGGGGTCTTGGTCTGATATACTTCCTCCCTGAGGGTGGGGGTCTTGGTCTTATATACTTCCTCCCTGAGGGTGGGGGTCTCTGTCTGATTTACTTCCTCCCCGAGGGTGGGGGTCTCTGTCTGATATACATACTGTCTGAGGGTGGGGNTCTTTACCCATAAATTAAATGTCTGGGAGAGGGTGGGGTCTTTACCCAATAAATTAAATGTCTGAGGGCAGGGGTCTTTACTTGATAAACTTCTTGTCTGAGGGTGAATCTTTACCCAATAAATTAAATGTCTGAGGGTGGGGTCTTTACCCAATAAATTAAATGTCTGAGGGCAGGGGTCTTTACTTGATAAACTTCTTGTCTGAGGATGGGGGTCTTTACCTGATAAACTCACTGTCTGAGGGTGGGGGGTCTTTACCTGATCAATTTACTTTCTGATGGTGGGGGTCTTTACCTGATAAACTTACTGTCTGATGGTGGGGGTCTTTACCCGATATACTTACCGCCACATTGTAGGGGTTTTGGCCTGATAACCCTGCTTTTTGAAGGTTGGGTGGTCTGAGCCGACTTGTACTCACTAACTGAGGTTGTAGGTCTCTGTCAATATACTTAACATCGGGGTCTTGGTCTGATATACTTACTGTCTGAGGGTGGGGGTCTCTGTCTGATATACATAATGCCTGGGGTTGGGGGTCTTGGTCTGATATACTTACTCTCTGAGGGTGGGGGTCTCTGTCTGATATACATCATGTCTGGGATTGGGGTCTCGGTCTGATATACTTACTCCCTGAGGGTGGGGGTCTCTGTCTGATATACATAATGTCTGGGATCGGGGGGTCTTGGTCTGATATACTTACTCCCTGAGGGTGGGGGTCTCTGTCTGATATACATAATGTCTGGGATTGGGGGGTGTTGGTCTGATATACTTACTCTCTGAGGGTAATGGTCTTGGTCTGATATACTTACTTCCTGAGGGTGGGGGTCTCTGTCTGATATACATACTGTCTAGGATTGGGGGTCTTGGTCTGATATACTTACTCCCTGAGGGTGGGGGTCTCTGTCTGATATACATTATGTATTGGATTGGGGGTCTTAGTCTGATATACTAACTCCCTGAGGGTGGAGGTCTCTGTTTGATATACATACTGTCTGGGGTTGGGGGTCTTGGTCCGATATACTTACTCCCTGAGGGTAAGGGTCTCTGTCTGATATACTTACTCCCTGAGGGTGGGGGTCTCTGTCTGATATACTTACTCTTTGAGGGTGGGGGTCTCTGTCTGATATACATAATGTCTGGGATTGGGGGTCTTGGTCCAATATACTTACTCCCTGAGGGTGGGGGTCTCTGTCTGATATACTTACTCTCTGAGGGTGGGGGTCTCTGTCTGATATACATACTGTCTGGGATTGGGGGTCTTGGTCTGATATACTTACTCCCTGAAGGTGGGGGTCTCTGTCTAATATACATAATGTCTGGGGTTGGGGGTCTTGGTCTGATATACTTACTCCCTGAGGGTGGGGGTCTCTGTTTCCTTTTCCCAGGTAAATGTGCCTTTCTCTATGGTAATGGAGTGTTCTACAGTGGACAATATATCAACGATAAGTGCTGTTATGATGAGTCGGTCTAAAAATGTGAAGCTAATTCAATCAGAATTTCAAGAAAAATGTGATAATTACAAATGAGATCACAATAACATTTTTTTATTTCACCTAGACATACTTGCTCAATATTTTAAACATAATACAGATTAACAAATATTTGAAGATAAATCAGAATAAAGTTGGACAGATTTTACTGTTCTTGATAAATTTAATTATTATATCACGTTATCACGTTATCAGGGACAGAATCATCAGCATATAAAACATATATCACACAACATATTTATACAGTAGCCTTACAACATTTACTTCACATTTTCAAGTTAATGTAGTTTTAGTTATGACAAATCTTTTTAAACAGCACATGAACGATTTTACTGAAGATTAATCATATACATTTCAACAGATGTATTTCATTTTTGACACATGTCATGTAAAATGTTAGCAATCAAGCTTTTAGCTTCACATTTAAAGAAAAAAACATTTTTGCCACTTAGCGTTTTGGCCTGATGTTAACGATCAGTACATTACTGGAGTAAGATAAGAACTTACTAGCAGAGGTGTCCCTGTCTATACTGAATATGTCCAGTTGTTCATTGTCCAGGAAGTGCTGGAGTCTCTTAACAGAAACACTGACCTGAAAAGGTAAAACAATTCAAATTTAATGTTCAATTGTTTTACAAACTTGACTACTGAGGTATATGAAAAAACATATTGCAATAATAGACCTGATGTTGCTTGACATATTTGTCAATACTTCATCAATTTTAAAATAATACTATTGTTATTAATTGATTTAACTACCTTGATTTCTTACCTGTGCAATAACAAAGATGACCTTGACTTAACTGTTTAATACCAGAAATGGACTTGACTTACCTGTACTTTACTAGAAATGACCTTGACTTACCTGTACAATACTAGGTATGGCCTTACAAATGGAGAAGAGCTTATAAGTTGTTAGAACTTGTCTCTCATCCATTTGTCTGTTTCGGCAATAAAATATGTTTAAATCAAATATGGCCTTGACTTACCTCTACAATACTTGAAATGACCTTGACTTACCTGTACAATACTAGATATGACCTTGACTTACCTGTACAATATTAGATATGACCTTGACTTACCTGTACAATACTAGAAATGGCCTTTACTTACCTGTACAATACTGGAGATGACTTGAGGAAGCATGGATAGAGGAAAGCGTAGGATGTTGAAGAGAGATAGAGACACAAAGGCTTTCTCTGCATCTAGGATGTTGTTGGAATCCACCAAAACATATACAGCAAAGGTCACCAAAGATACCTGCAAATAAATTGTTCATTTTCTTTACTTATACACTGGCTGTAGAGGCAGACTAGTATTAATATCAATTGGTCCATAACAGATGTAGAACCACACAGAATGAAGTTGACTCTTACATGGAAAAAAGGAAGCCACAAGGCTAACATATTCTGACTGAAGTTTATTTGTACTGGCTCTGATCAGTGAACCATGATTCATTTAGACAGAGAAAGGAATTAGCAATGTTACAGACAGGCATAAATCAAAAAGCAGTACTTTTACAATTTTGTTATAAACAGAAACAGATGCCCCAAAAATTGTTGAAATCAAAAATATATAACAAGCTTACAACTACCTAAGGTATTGATAATATGTGCCAAGCTTTATAAAATTCACTTAAGGTAAGCAGTGGTGCACTTCACAAACTTCTGTTTTCATACAGAGGGACAGATACCAGTATTTTTCCTGTAATTTTCTTTCCAGGGACTTTAATGAAGCAGACCCTTCACAGATGTCCTTACAGTATAAAGTAGACCCCCTTACAGAAACAGATCTCCTACAGAATGAAGTAAGCCCACATAGAATGAGGAAAATCCCAAACAGAATGAGGTAAACCCACAAAGAATGAGGTAAATCCCATAAAGAATGAGGTAAACCCACATAAAATGGGATAAATCCCATACAGAATGTGGCAAACCCACATAGAATGAGGTAAATCCCATACAGAACGGTTAAACCCACATAGAATGGGGTAAACCCCATACAGAATGAGGTAAAACCCACATAGAATGAGGTAAATCCTATACAGAATGAGGTAAACCCACATAGAATGGGGTAAACCCCATACAGAATGAGGTAAAACCCACATAGAATGAGGTAAATCCCATACAGAATGAGGTAAACCCACAAAGATTGAGGTAAATCCCATACAGAATGAGGTAAACCCACATAGAATGGGGTAAATCCCATACAGAATGAGGTAAACCCACAAAGAATGAGGTAAATCCCATACAGAATGAGGTAAACCCACATAGAATGGGGTAAATCCCATACAGAATGAGGTAAACCCACA